TACACATAGGTGAAAGTGACATTCTGAAATTTTATGTAGTTTGATTACTAAAGTGTTAGTACTTTAGAGTGACTGAAATTAACTTTGCGGAGCGGCGCGTCGTGACAAATGGCAATACAACCCAATTGCTTGTGTGTTCACCTGTGTGAATAAATAATCTATGAATTATAATATTAAGACCTGCTAAGGACCAGATTATTTTCTATGGTGTCCTGATGCATAAAACCTTAGAATTGAGAAACTTTATTTTTCACACGACTGCACCTATAAATAGTAAAACCAGAGAAGCATCATTTTGCAGTTGTCTCTTAATTTTTTCAAGAGCTGTATGTACAGGATTTAAGTGACTCTATACTGAAAAAAACTTGGAGTAGGATTTACTTGAAAAAAGCTTGGAAACAATTTTCACTCAGAAAAGACAAGTAAAATTACAAAAATTTGCAAAGTAAAAACTACAATATAACTTAAGAATTAATTAAAGTTTCTAAAAGTTAAGTTTACTTGGAAATTGTCCCTGATTAGCTCGTGCCACGACTTGACGAAGGACTTAAGAAGAACAAAGAACAAAAGGGACTTTATTAAATCAAAACTAAGCAGGGACTGGAAAATAAACAGGACCGCAAGGGATGCAAAAGGGGAAGACTGGTACAGGGAAGGTGTGACATCAATGATTAGACTGGGAATGACAAGCAAATAACTAAATATGTAGGTAACAGGCGTTTCAAAGGGTAATACGCAACAGGCGTAGCTCATCAGAGCCACGTTAGGGAGGAGACAGGAAAGTGAGGCGGACCTGACGGGCAGGATGTAACAGCGAGTTCTTTAAAGAACTGAACCCACTTCACTGGAACAGTAATTAACTAACAATCAGGCAAAAAGCATAACTGCAAACATTCAAGCCTCTCAAATCTGATGGGATCCAGAATATGTATATATTTATACACATATTTAAAAAATAATAAAATAAAGCAAGTTTCAGATTCATATTAAACAAACACCAATGAATAGCAGTTGATTTTTTTGCCCAAGATTGCTTTTGAGAACACCTGAAGGACATGAATCAGAGCTTCACTTGTACGTCCAAGCTGTTTTGGACGGGCAGCAGAAGGGAACACCAATAGCATCACTTTCGGGATTGCAATGCCCTGTTCAGCTGTCGAAAATAAAAGATTTACGTATTGGGGGTAGATCATGCATTACTGCCTTTTAGAGGTGAGGTGCCACACAATTCCAATTAGTTTATTGCTTATTATGCCCAAAACACGCCCCTATATAATCGAGAAAGGTAGGACAACCTTTTTGTGCCTTGCGCTGGGAGAAGGGTTGAATTGCAGTGTGGGGTGTTCCGGTAAAAACAGGAATGCCCTCGACAGGAACGCCTCTCATCTCTTTCATTGGTTCTAATGCCATTATGGTTAACACGAATTTCCTCACCGGGAATCAAATTTTACTGTGGTCTTCCTACTTTGTATGTATTAAAAGCATTTTCTCATGAGAGACAGCGAATATAGATAGTTGTCGTTGGCCTACAATGCAACTTCAACTGGTTAACTTGGTTGAATGCCATTCACATTATGATGCTGCTACTGTTGTTTATACTGCCGTTAGCATGTTTGTTTTAGACAGTGAATATCGTACATCTAGACCAGCGCTACTTGTTCCTGATCCTCATGTTGCCTTGCCCTACACATGTATTTCCTACTTCAACCCACCTGATCAGGTGTTCTGGGGTAGGAAGTACCTGTGCAGGACAGGGGGTCGCAAGGAAAAGGACTATGAACCTGTGTTCTGGACATTTAAAAAAGCGTGGCACACAGGAGGAATGGCACGGTCAGGGCATGACA